TGGAAGAGGAAAGAAAGGAAAAAGGTGACACTGTTATATCTTGATCTCAGACTAATTACACAAAATACATGAAATAAAATGTTTCTATGTTCAACCTCTCATCTTTTATTAGATAAGTTTCTGCTGTTTTTAATCTATAAAATAGTTCATGTCACTGGTACATATATGTATTAACTGCATAATTAATGTGGGGACTATAAGCTTCAGACAGATATTAACACATAATTGATACCTCTTATGAGGCTCAAACACATCTTGTCTACTTTCTTTCAAATTGTAAAATATCTGAGGATCCACAGAAAACTAAAAAAAAAAAAAATGAAGACCATGAACCTATGATAAAAACATCACTTCTGGAAAGCAGGTTAGGATCTAGATTAGGACCTCAGGAGGGAGGGTACAGGGAGAAGGAAATGGTGAGTGAGTGCTAATGGATACCAGGTATTGGGGGGCAGGTGAAAATGTTCTCAAATTGTATTATGCTGATAGTTGTACAACTCCATAAATATACTAAAAACCATTGAAATCTATACTTTAAATGGATGAACTGCATAACATGTAAATTATACTTTCAAAAACCTGTTTAAATAAATACATAAACAATTAATTCATTTCATAACTTAAAGATAGGATCACCACATCCTTCATTTTAAACCACACCTATGGAAAATATAACTCAGATTATAAACCAAAACCCATATTTTTAATGATTTTTTTATTTCAATTGTTTATATCTAATGGAACTAAAAGCTGCTTAATTCATCACAACCATTTTTAATGTGATAATGAGTTTTGTTTTCAAAAGGGTAGGAAATAGATACATTTGATAATTATACCACAAGTACAGCTGAGGAAACATGAGATCTTGCACTGTTCATAATCATAACTAATTCTTCATAATAGTATTATAAGCAGAATCCTAACAGATTTAGTAGTTTTGAATGTAGAACATTAAAGTTAGTCAAAGACCAGAGGTCATAAAAATTTACTCCGAAAGTGTTTATAACCTTCCCAGAGTAAGATTACGTATTCCATAACCTAAGTTCTAAGGTCTGATGTATTTTCAAGTTTTAAATGTCGTAAGTACTATGATACACATAATTTCATTTGATAATACTATACATCCTAATAGCGGATGATGTATTTGTGTAGCACCAGTTATTTTTCTTAGCCTGCCCTCAAACAATCCGCCCACCTTGCCTCCAGGACTGCTAGGGTTACAGGTGACAGCACCATGTGTGGCCCCATTCTTAAACTTCTAATCTTACATTTAAAGTACGTCTTTTAAGCCCAAAATGAGAAAATTGTATTAAAAAAGGAGTAGGACAGATCTTGAAAAAAGCTACTGCCATAAGAGGAAAACGTGAACTGTGGAAATGTTCAAGTTTGAAAGAAACAAAAAAGACTAATGTCACTGTCATAAAAGGAAAAAAAAAAAAAACACCGTAAATGTCCGAATGTAAGGAAACTAAATGTGATACTTGATCCTAGATTGATTTTCTACTGGAGAGATGAAAAAACCTGCTATATAGAACATTACTGGGTCAGTCGATAAATATAGAATATAGACAATAGATTACATGCGTGCACATACATACAAAGAGAAAACAGTTAACAATGTGGCAAAATGTTAACAGTAGCTGAATGCTCTCTGTACTATTCTTATTCTTACAACTTTTCTAAAACTTTGAAATTATTTAAAAACAAAAGGGTAATAAATAACATAAAATGCATCCCCTTCTCTCCCAACCATGCTGGATCTTGCTTTTTGTTTATTAATCCAATATAATCTCTGCCTTTTAATTGGAGTATTTATCTTCTTTCATTAATTTTTTTTTTTTCAGAGACAGTCTCACTTTGTTGCCCTTGGTACAGTGCCGTAGCATCACAGCTCACAGCAACCCCCAGCTCTTGGGCTTAGGCAATTCTCTGGCCTCAGCCTCCCGAGTAGCTGGGACTACAGGCATCCGCCACAATGCCCCACTATTTTTGTTGTTGTTGTTGCTGTTGTTGCAGTTTGGCTGGGGCCGGGTTCGAACCCACCACCCTTGGTATATGGGGCCAGCGCCCTACTCATTGTGCCACAGGCACCACCCTTAATTGGAGTATTTAGCCAAATGTAGATGTTATTATTGACATAAGTCAAACATCTGGGGTTCTATTCATCTTTTGTTCTTTTTCTTTCCTTTCTTCTTTGTTATTTCTCTTACTTGCTTTCTTTTGGATTAATCAAATATTTATTCGTTGTTCAATTTTATCCCATCCACCTAATTTTTAACTAGATGTCTGTTTTACAATTTTAGTGTTTGCACTAGGAATTAAAATTTGTATCTTTAACTAATCGTAGTCTACCCGTTCATGCATGATATAAGAAACTCACCACAGCAGTTTCATTTACCTGGTCCCATCCTTTGTGACATGATGGTCATACATTTTTACTTTCAAATATATTATAAAAGTCATGCATACTATTGTTTTTTACCTAAAATTAATACTCTTTACACAAAAATAAAGAAATTATGAAATGAAGGAAAAACTCTTTTATTTTCCCCCACATATTTACCATTTCTGGCCCTCTCTACTTTTTCCTATAGATCTGAATCACTATCTGATGTTATTTTCTTTTAGTCTGAAAACCTTTCCATAATATTTCTCGGAGTGCAGGTCTAATGGTGATAAACTCCTTTAGTTTTAGTTCATTTGAAAATGTTTCTGTTTTACTTTCATTTCAAAGGCCATTTTCAGGTGATTCTAGAGGGACAGTTTATGTTTCTTCCAGCACTTTTAGGGTGGCATTCTTTGATTTCTGGCTTGCACTGTTTCCAGTCAGAAGTCACTGATAATTTTTTTTAATCAACATTTGCCTACAGGCAAGGTGTCTTTTTTTCCTCTACTTTTTAGATTTTGTCTTTGGTTTTCATAATGATGTGTCCAGGTGTTAATTTTCTCTAGGTCTATCTTACTTGAGACTTCTTGAGCTTCTTGCCGCTTTGAGTTTATATGTTTCAACAAATTTGGAAATTTGGAGGTCATTATTTCTTCTGATTCTTTTCTGCCCCAATCTCTCTGTCCCCGCTCCTCCTGCACCCGCAACCACACAATTGTCAGACTGCACAATATTGCTCTAGAGGAGATTATGACTTTTCGTTTTTTCTTTTTGGTCTATTTCCTATCTGTTCTTTGTTTTGAATGGTCTGGACTGATCTATCTTCAAGTCTACTCATCCTTTTTTCCTACAGAATACAATCTGCTCTAAATCCATCTGGTAAACTTTTCATTTCAGATATTAATTTCCATCATCTTTTTAATTCTCATTATGACTCAGGTTTTCCTGCCTTTTCACAAGCATAATAAATGTGTGCTAGGCATTGTGGATTCTCTGTTATAGAGAATCTGGATTCTGCTGTCTTACAGAGAATTTTGTTCTGTCAGGCAGTTAATTCACAGGCAGATCAAGCAGATACCACAGATACTTGGTTTGGGGCTCTAGTATGTGACATCTATAGTTGCCCTTTCTCTCCAACTAGACCAGCCCTACACCTAAGGTATGACCTTTCTAAGGTCCCAGCAGAAAGCATGGGATATTCTGCAAGCTCCCCCTATATGGGCTGGTCTGAACATTACTGAGCATTTCATAACTTCTGAAACCTCCATTCGCTCTTGGTCCTACAGTAGCTGTTTTCTGCGAAGCCTTGTCATGTGCACAGCTTCCTGCCTGACCAAAGGGCTAATAATTTGGAAAGTGTCCCCAAAAAGGACACAGGGATGAATGTGGACGCCACCTCATGTCCTCTCTTCTCTCAGCTGATCACCTGAGTTCATCCAGTTATATAGTTGCCTACAGCAGAAGGTAATTTCATCATGCCTAGCACTAGAAGTCCCTAAATCTATTTTTAAAATAGCTTTAAAATCTATTCTTTTATTTCATCCTTAAAATAAGTATGTTACATGTAAGGCAAACATTATTTCCATAGGAAAGATGAACAAACCAAGACACAAATGTTAAATAACCAGCCTAATTTCATTAGCTAATAAAATATTCATCAAGCACCTACTATGAGCACATGGTAATTAATGAAGCAGTAAAGATAACTCAGAAATAAAGTTTCAATCCATATTATTGCTACTGAACCATTAATAAAAAACATACATACTAAAAGATGTCAAATAAATGAACCAGGAATCAATCATTTAATCTACCAGGAGTATGTCTGTAATCTCAGAAATGACTATAATTTATATTTGATTTTTTTCCTACAAAGACTCCTATTTGCCATGCAAGTAATTTCATTCCTACACAGCTACAGTTTTTAATTCCTACATATACCTAATTTTTTTCATACTATTAGGTACTATCTAAGTCGTTTCTGTTTAGCTATGTCAGACTTGGTTTATCTAACTCTGAAATGTATCTCTAATTTTCATCTGACCAAATCAAATATCTTTTGCTGGCACACAAGGAAAAAATACAATAGAATTTCTAAATGTCATCTCAGCAGCATCATATCAAACAGTAATATCATTCCTCTAATCTTCAACAAATCAATCAAAGTGATACATTCATATCTTACACATTTTTTCTGATCTCTCAAAATAAGCTCTCAACGTGTCATTTAGCCCAATGTATAGAAGCTGGCAATAAAGACATATTCAATAAAATTAAGCTATGCATATGTTTATAAAATAATGCTTGAGAACATTTGAATATTTATCACCTTAATGTATGGCTAATTCCAGTGAAGTCAGTACAGTATGACAGAAAGCCAGATACTGCAAATATTGAAAATCTGCTATTTTAAAGTCTGGCAAAAGAACATATTGGTCAAAGGGTTTTTGAAGATGGCAGACATTAATACCATTAGCAGTAAACTTTAAATGGAAGCATTACTCTCTCGCCATTATGATTCTGAAGGTAATATTTTAGGTGGCTGATTTTTTTTTGCTATTGTTCTAAACAGTTACTCCGAATCAAGATGACATGCTTTGTAAAAGGCCTTTACCTGCAGAACATCTTGGATCTTCATCCACACATCTGCCATATCATATAATTTGATATCTTCCTGCTGAGTGAGTGGAGTCACAACCGTGTCCTGCAGGTATCCCAGGACCACAGAGTGTGCAGTGGCTACAGCGTTAAACTTGTCAAACAATAACTCCAGGAGTTCTAGAAGCAATCTAAAAACAAAACAAATAAATGAATGAATAAATGCATAACATTTACACGTGCGCGCACTTACAGGCAGATGGTTTACACTGGCCTGCAAGAAAAGCATCAAAGCAAGGCAAAGTAGCATACTACAATATAAAAAGCAGAAACGTCAAATTTCACCAGATTTGATTTCAGTTGTATGATCTAAGCAACTTTTTAAAACGTATCTAAGCCTCAGCTTCCTCTTCTAAAAAATGGAAATGTAAGAATTTAAAAACCAATTGTAAAGTCCTTAAACCAGCAATAGCAGCTCAATAAACATTTGTTTCCTTTTTAACGTATTTCAGTGATTATAGTGCGAGTTCTCTATATTCACATAGGCAGCTTCTCCAAGGAATTCAGGCAATTTTTTCAGACAATAGCTCAGATGTTACATAGAATATGCTATTCCCTAGCAGTAAATTGGACACTCTGGTAAGGATATTAATCCTTTTAGTCATGGAAAGCTATGCTTACTACCATTCAAATGTATGGCCTGAGCTGCCTGAAAAAAATACACACCTGCCAAGCAATCTGACTTTCACCACAGGGAGCAGCTTAGGCATCCACATTATCTCATTTATCATAGTGAGATGTGCTGGACACATATTATTACATCAATTTTATGTACTCAAGGACACAGAATGAGGTTGTGCGGCAGCTGGGCCTAGAACAAAGTTGATTTCCATGTCAGCACATTTAGACCCCTAGCTCTCACTACAGGTCTAGAATGTAGATGTATATTTAGAGATAGCGCAGAGATTTATGTCATATATGCAAAGTCATTACATAGGTAAGGCTCTACTATTGGGCCTGACGGCTTCACTAATCACCTAAGCCTGGAATCTCTTCCTCCTTTGAACTTGTATAGTATTTTATTCTGCTTTTAAGCAACTTAAAACATGTGGCTCACATATGTGAGTCAATAAATGTGGGTCACATTTATTTATACAGGGATATTTTATCTCCCTTCTCCATTCTCAGTCTTTCAGGGTAGGCCCCGCCTTATATATCTCTGTAGACTTTGAAGCACTTAGAACAATGACCACCAAATATTTGCTGAATGAATTTAACATGTATACCGTGAACAAACACAGAAAATCTTAGAATGTAAGCTGTATTTTAGATTGTGTGGGCTCTCAGGGCGTAGTTCTTAAAAAGACCAATAAGCCAACCTGCAAAGTAGAAAAGAAAAGCGCACGAGCCTGTCGGCAGTGCAAATTAACAAGACTTTATTACCATAAATAAGAGGTTAGAGCCATAATCTCATCAAAATGTACAGCATATTATCTATTCCTATGGCTTCTTTACTGCCCAATTACTATAATTAATGTGCCAATGTGACAGCTCGTAACTTTCTTACAATAAAACCCTAATATCTATTTGACATGGTAATTTAGATGAAACAGAATCAATAGAATTTATGTAGTCCTCACAGTCTAGAATACACATATGTAATCCAGAAATTACACACTATGAGTATAAATAGAAGCCATTCTGGCTTTTGACTGATGATTCTTTTTAATCTTTTAAAGGTCAATTCATATTTATACTCACACAACCTTAAATAATTTTCTTCTGATTTGTGCTACTGAAGAACTCAAGTATCAATGGAGAGAGATGCAAAATACGGAAATATGTGTCTAAACATAAAAGCTGAATCAGTTAATTCAGTATAGGGAAATGATCTGTATAAAACTGATATCTGGCATCACACAGACTAGTAATTTAATCAGTAAATATTTACTTAAGTGAAGGTTCTACTTTCCCTGTTCGGTATTTATGGTAAGTATGTAAGACTATGGCTCCTGAATATGAATCCACAAACCATAATATATTTTTTCAGTGGTGGATGGCAAAATAAAAAATACATGGGCTCGGCGCCTATAGCTCAACCGGCTAAGGCGCCAGCCACATACACCTAAGGTGGCGGGTTCGAATCCCCAGCCCGGACCCGCCAAACAACAATGATGGCTGCAACCAAAAAATAGCTGGGCGTTGTGGCGGGCGCCTGTGGTCCCAGCTACTTGGGAGGCAGAGGCAGGAGACTCGCTTGAGCCCAGGAGTTGGAGGTTGCTGTGAGCTGTAATGCCACGGCACTCTACCCAGGGGGACAGCTTGAGGCTCTGTCTCAAAAAAAAAAAAAAAAATACATGAATGATATATTGACTTTTTACAGAGGTAAATTTATTTCATTTTACGTTTTTTTTACTCCCTTGGTAGAATAAACCTCAGTTACTTTCTGTTATGATGGCAGTTATGTTGCCAAATACTTTTAATAGACAAAATAATTAAAACTTAACAATTATATATTATACCTCGGCATTTTCTGAAAAATATAATCCATGGCATTCAGAAGCCTGAGGCACAGTGGTGTTTTAGGTATAGGATAGTGAACCAGCAACAAAGTTTTAATGGAAAAGAAATGGCTCCTCTTAGAGGTGCTATTTATTTCAGTATCTCCAGGACCAACCAGCCCCATGACTGCACAATCCATATGTCTGTCTGTCAAGGACAAGAGCCTCTCTGTAACCAAGGAGCAGGGCTCCATTTAGAAAAGAAACCTAGTGAAGAAATAAGGTGTAAGGTGAAATTCACAGTATCTATTAACATCATGGATATAGCCTTTCCTTGACAAAATGTTGACACAATGACAGCTTCTGCCTCTCCTGGAGGTTCAAGGCTAAAGACTGTCCTAGCCACAAAACAGGCTACAGAGAGAGGAGAGCGATGTAAGAGTAGCCAGGAAGAGACCTGCAGTGGGAGACTCTACTTGCAGCTGTACCGCCCTCTACCCATTTCAAAGAGAAAGAAGTTCTCCATTGCCTTACCAAAGCACAATCATGCCACAGTAATAAAACCTACACCTAGAACATCAAAATTAGAAATGTTTTTCCTTCAAATGATACTACCAAAAATTGAAAAGGTAATTCACAAAATGGTAGAAAATATTTTCCTGGGGTAGTGGATGTGGCCTATTCTTCTTTTAGGTGTTAATTCCATAGGGATGTAGAATGGTCAAAACTCACCAAAGTGAATGCTTAAGAGGTGAGCATTTTATTGTATGAAATTATTATGTGTCTATGAAGATAAATATATCTATTGCAAAAAAAATACAATTATAAAAAAGCCGAAGTAAATAGATGCTAAAACTTAAGAAAAAAGAAAATATTGGCAAATCATAGATCTGATAAAAGACTGTGTCTATAATATCTAAAGAACTCTTACGTTCGTGATAAAAAAAAAGGCAATTAGATTTTAAGAATGAACAAAGGATATGAACATACATTGATCCCAAGAAAATATATGAATGGCCAATAAGCAAACAAAAAGATAATCATTATCATTAGCCATCAGAAAAACACAAATCAATATCACAATGAGTTAGAACTTCAAGGATGTAGAGAAACTGGAACTCTCATACAGTGCTGCTGGGAATAGAATGTGGTACGGCTGCTTCAGAAAATAGGTTGGTAGTTCCTCAAAATAGTAAACATAGAGTTAACAGACAGACCTAGTCATTCTATTGCCAGCTATATACCCAAGAGAGATGAAAACACATGTGCCCACAAAACCTTACACACAGATGTTCATAGCAACACTCACAACAACTAAAAGATGCAAACAATCCGTATGTCCATCAACTGATGAATGGATAAACAAAATGTGATATTGATACCATAGAATATTATTTGGCCATAAAAAGGAATAATGTACTGATACATGATGCAGCAAAAATAAACCTTAAAATTATTACACTAAGTGGAAAAAGTCACAGAAGACTACATATCATATGATTCCGTTTATATGAAATATTCAGGATAGGCAAATTTTTAGAAAGAGAAAATACATGAGAGGTTAATAGGCTGGGAGTAGGTGGGAAATGATTGATAAAGTATGTGGGATTTGTTTTAGGAAGGACAAAAATGTTCTAGAAAGTAGTGATGATTGCAAAACTCTATGAATATAGTTAAAAAAACACTAAATTATACTTTCAATAGGTAAATACTTTCAATAGGTAAATTGCACAGTATGTGATTATATCTCAACATAGCTGTTTTTAAAAACAGATTAATAATAAACAGTAGCTGTGACCCTGAGTGAGGATAGAGGGGTCTACACCTCCCCAGCAGTGGAAATACATAGAACAGTGAACGAGGAACCCGGCACACAGAAGGGAAATGTCATGAAAGCTGATTCCTTATCTCAGCGCTTCTCAACCCGTGGGTAGCGACCCACGGAACTGTATTAAAGGGCCGCGGCATTAGGAAGGTTGAGCACCACAGCCTTAAGATTCTTGCTACTGTGAGGATGTGAAATTTTCTCTTTTGTTTTACTTGGTTTTTAGTGTTTGTTTCTCCTTACATAAACAATGTTTAAGAAACAAAAGATGTCCATTCTTTCCCAGCATTGACACTTCCTATACCTTTAATTATGAAAAATATTTCTCAACTTCTCCAAGCATCCCCATCTGTTAAAGTATTAATTAATACCTGTTGTAGGAGCCTCACAGAGCTGCTGGGAGGATCAAATTAGAAAACAGAACTACCTGATGTAACTGGTACAATACTGAAGGGAAGGGGGGATTCGTAATTCCTTTGTGGTCTGGATTTCTCCCTTGAACAACACTGAAGACAATGATTACTGAGAGAGAGAGAGAGAAAATATTAAAATTAAGTTAGAAATTTTGAAGGAGAGATGCTGGGTTTAGACTGGGAAGTCCACAGCCAACACTCCAGGAAACAAAAGATGGTTAGAAAGTATCAAGAGAAGGAGGAAGCCAGCGAACATTCTAGAAGACAAACGGTAAGAGATTATCAACACACTCAAAGACGACATGGAGGTCAAAGTAAAGAGGGAGAAATCTACAACTCATGGGCCACCAACGACATTGGCAAAAAGGGTTTCATTGGAGCATTGCAGGGAACCCCGCGGTGGGATGAGCAGCGAAGGGCTGATAGCAAAAAGAAACCCAAGTCAAGCCTAC